TGGGTGCCGTCAGAATGAGAGTCCAAACAGCTGATAAAAACATCACAATAATCCACAAGTAATCCACAGCACTCCCGTCCATCAGTTAATGTCTCGTGAAGCAAAAAGCTGCGTGCTTGTAAGAAAGAAATCCACCATTAATGCATTTTATCAAACTTTTTCACTGAAGGAAGCGTTACTATGGATTATGGATGCATCTGAAGTTAAAAACATCTTAATGTTGGATGTGTTTCAGCTTTTGTCTTCTCCAGATGTTAACTGATGGACTGGAGTGGTGTGGATTACTTGTGGATTATTGTGATGTTTTTATCAGCTGTTTGGACTCTCATTCTGACGGCACCCATTCACTGCAGAGCATCCATTGCTGAGACACTGATGCAATGCTACATTTCTACAAATCTGATGAAGAAACAAACTAGGATGGCCTGAGGGTGAGCACATTTTATAAATATTTTGGGTGAACTATAAGTTTGGGGGTTTGTTTAAATCATTAACTCTGAGCAATAGTGATGGTGATGCTTGCCTGAGCAAACACCACTAACATAAGAGCACAGTGTCAGTTTGCAGCTCTTTAAACACACCAGAAGGAGGCGGCAGAGAGCAAATTCACACTCGCAAATCAGATTAACAAAGACCAGTGGTGAGCGGCTGAGAAACCCCTTAAAAACACACAGAGCCCTACAGAGAAACTCCCGAACAGTTTGGCACATGCATGCCCTGTTCCACAGCGCTTGGCTTTCTTCATGTCAGTAGGCAATGGATTCATGTTCTCTGAGAGTTTCCAGCTCTCCTATTACAAATAAACACAGCATTAATCCACCACGTCCAATCTGGATCACAGGTTTAAAGAAGAGCCACTCAAAGCAGTAATGTGTGCTGTCAACTGCTGTAAAATCTAAAGCACAGATCCATGCTGAGTTGAACTATGGATTTACAATGTACTAAAGAGAGCTGTCATTCAAAAATTAGAATATGTAGTCAGTAAGATTTTTTGGTAAACATATGATATAAAGCCTTTATCTACAGTATAATGCATTATAAAAGGAGTTTTAATGCATTAATTATGCCTTGTAAATGCACCTTATAATGCATTGTACAATCTCATGAATAATTGTAACCACAGTTAATACATTATAACACTTATCGATTCATTGTTACACTGTGCATTTTACATATAGGCTTTAAGTAAAGTGTAACCGATTTTTTTCTCTTACGCTCATCAAGGCTGCATTTATTTGATCAAAAATACAGTAAAAACAGTTATATAGTGAAATATTATTACAATATAAAATAGCTGTTTTCTATGTGAATGCATTGTAAACTGTAATTGATTTCTGTGATCAAAGCTGAATTTTCAGCATCATTACTCCTGCCTTCAGTGTCACTTGAGCCTTCGGAAATCATTTGCTGACTGTAACATTTTTGATAATTCTCTGACCTTTTCCACAGGTAGCAGTGCATTCTGTCAGCGCGCCTCTTCGCCACACGAACACAGGCTGATTGTCCAATGGGAGGTCCGTTCTTGGAGGGATTCGAGCGTTACGATTGGGTCCTAAGCCCTGTGGGCGGAGCCTCTCTTGTGGCCATCGATCAGACACAGAGGAAGATGATGAGGAAGATGAGGAAGATGAGGAGGAAGGGAATGAAAATGGAGGTGAGGAGGCAGAAGACGTCACAGGAGGAGGAGCGATAGGGTTCTCCACTGCCACTGAGAAGCCACCTGAAACACAGAGAGAAGAGCCCTCAAAAACTAAACGCTAAACTATTAGTCATGCAACGGTAAAAAAAAAAAAAACACTTTAGCATGCTTTTAAAAAGAGTAGCCTACTTAATACAGAAATAAAAAGAGCTACATGTAATGTTTTTCGGAACTTAATTGCATGTTAATGGAAATTAAAAATGCATTATAATTTGCATTTATATTAAATACAATTAGCTGAACTATTGAGTGCTTTTTTTGATTTGATTAAGACTTAAGTACATCTTTACATGTAATTTCATAATTCTATTGTCTTGGAAATATGATTAAAGTGTTACTGCTGAATGTACTGACAAGCATTTATGGTAATCTAAAATGTACCTTAATGCAATTTCTATTGAATCTTGTATGTCATGTATTTAAATTAATTTGTAATTACACGTTTGTAATGCACTTAAGTGTTCAGTCATGAAAGTGTTTTAAGTGCACTTAAGTGGACCTTTATTTAATTAATATGACTATATTATCTGCAAGTAGTTTTTAAAAAATGCACTTTTAAGATTTGGAGTACACTATGAGTGCACATTCAATACAACGAAGCACACTTCTTTTTCACAGAAGTTGTAAAAATGTAAGAAATGTTGTGCAAAAAAAATGTGGTTAAGTATTTGTTTTGCACCAGTGCATTGCTAACAGCTGCAGTTGCTCATATTTACGGAAATCATCATACTCTCATTAAAATTGTACTGCAAATTACTACATGTGTGAATATCCTTCAGAAATAAATAAAATGTCACTGATGATGTTCCCTTTTAGTTGGGATGCTGCTTTAGAAGGTAACCTTGCTGTCTGTGTAGGGAAAAGAAGCAAGGCAGTCTCACTAGGTTTTAATTCCCTGCTGAAAAGACCAGCTTAAACCAGCCAGTGGTGTGCTGGTATTAGCTGGTTTAAGTTGATTTAGCTGGTCTCCTAGCCTGTTCCCAAGTTACACCAAAAATTGTTTTTAGCAGGGCTGGCACAGAACTAAAGCCTGATTCATGCTTTTTGCCTCATGTCACACACTTTCACTGTGACCCCATTCTCATAAAAACTCTGTTAAACATCATCCTCTGTTGCCCATTTCACACACACACACACACACACAAACACAAACACACACACACACACACACACACACACACACACACACACACACACACACACACACACGTGTTTCCATGTTTTATGGGGACATTCCATAGGCGTAATGGTTTTTATACTGTACAAACTGTATGCGCTATTGCCCTACACCAACCCTACCCCTAAACCTACCCCTTACAGGAAACTTTGTGCAGTTTTACTTTCTCAAAAAAACTCATTCTGTATGATTTATAAGCTTGTTTCCTCATGGGGACCTCAAAAATGTCCCCACAAGGTCAAAATTTACTAGTATTACTATCCTTGTGGGGACATTTGGTCCCCATAACGTGATAAATACCAGGTACACTCACACACTCACTCACTCACTCACACACACACACTCACACACACACACACACACACACACACAAAGTTCTCCTGTAATGACCTTAAAAGGTTTCAGCGGTGGCCAATAAGTGATGAGAGAAATAAGAGAAAACTGCTCAGTGAAATATATCTGCGCGGCACACACGTATAAACACTATAAATGTAGAGAGAGAGAGAAGATCATCAGGAGAGAAAAATAGAAACCAAGATGGTGGGTGAGAGAGAGACTCTCACTGACAAGGAGAGTGTAGGAAAACTCACTGATTTCTCGGAGCGCTGCCTGTCCTCGCTCTCTCTCTCTGTGTATTTCTCTCTCTCCGTCCCTCCGTTTCTCCACTGGGATGTAATATTCATAGTCTATGCCTGGATTCTGCCTGTGGAAAATAATCTACAGCGAGAGAGAGAGACAGCAAAAAACAGGTTAATAAACTCCAGCATATGGTAACGTCTCACTCCATGACCGCTTTCCAGTTAGTATCGGCCGTATTTCACTGATGCACAGACACTCAGAACACACTCCTACACACTCACACACACCACAGTATGTGGACAGTCTTTCTCATAACATCTGAATGAACTTAAAGCTGAAGTATGAATTATGAACTCATCGGTTTTCATCAAATTCTTCCAAAACCAAATCATCAGAGCTGTGCTATCCATGCTGTTACTGTGTTAACAACCAACTCCGACTGACACCCAAACTAGACCAATACTGAAGCTTAAACTAGTATCATCAAACTAGTGATACTTGAACTAGCCTAATACTGACACTTAAATTAGTATGACTACACAAACCACTGACACCCAAACTAGACTAGTGCTGATACTTAAACTAGTATGACTACCCAGACCACCAACACCTAAACTAGACCAATACTGACACTTCAACTAGTATCGATAAAAAGTGATACTTAAACTATACCAAAACTGATACTTAAACTAGTATGACTATCCAAACCACTGACACATAAACTAGACCAAAACTGATACTTAAACTAGTAGCAATAAAAACATCACGCTTAAACTAGACCAATACTGATACTTAAACTAGTATGACTACCCAAACCAGTAACACCTAAACTAGACCAATACTGATAGTTAAACTAGTATGACTATCCAAACCACTAACACCTAAACTAGACCAATACTGATAGTTAAACTAGTATGACTATCCAAACCACTAACATTTAAACTAGACCAATACTAATACTTAAACTAGTATGACTGTCCAAACCACTAACACATACACTAGACCAATACTGACATTTAAACTAGTAGCAATAAAACATCACACTTAAAATAGATCAATGCTGATACTTAAACTAGTATGACTATCCAAACCACTAACATTTAAACTAGACCAATACTAATACTTAAACTAGTATGACTGTCCAAACCACTAACACATACACTAGACCAATACTGACATTTAAACTAGTAGCAATAAAACATCACACTTAAAATAGATCAATGCTGATACTTAAACTAGTATGACTACACAAACCACTGACACCTAAACTACAACAATACTAATATTTAAACTAGTATGGCTACCTGAATCACTAACACCTAAACCAGACCAATACTGTTATTTAACTAGTATGACAACCCAAACTACTGACACCTAAACTAGACCAATACTGATACTTAAACTACTAGTATGACTAACCAAACCACTAACACCTACACTAGACCAATAGTGAGACTTAAACTAGTATCACTACATAAAATATTGGTAATTAAGGTAGTGTGACTACTAAAACTACTGACACCTTTAGTAGACAAATACTGATACTTAAACTAATATGATTAGACTAGCCATACCTAAACTAGACCAATACTGATATTAAACTAGACCGTTAAACAAATGGTACCTAAAGTAGACCATTACTGATACTTCAACTAGTATCACAACTTAAATACTGAAAATTAAACTAGACAGATGCTGATACTTAAACTAGATTTATAACTTAAATACTGATTATTAAGGTAGTAGGACTAACATAACTACCAATACCTAAAACAGACCAATACTAACTAGTATCATGAAACTGGTCACACGTATATGAGACCATTACTGACATTTAAAGGAGGGGTGCAATGCTGTTTCATGCATTCAGAATTGTTTACACTGTTAAAGAGTAGGATTCTCATGCTAAGCATGGACAAAATTTCAAAAAACAATTTGGACGTATGACGGAGTATTTCTGTGCTAAAAATCTTACTTCCTGGTTCGTACAAGTTTCGGAGAGTTTTTTTCGATCGTGGCCCTTCATGACGTAGACAAGGGTGGAACTCCTTATATGGGCATTTCTCCCGGAAGAGCGCGCACGCGCACACATCGACCAGAACGAGAGCAACAGTGCGCCCATCAACGTGCTTCATTCAACAGCGCAGCATGGGACTCGCTCGGGAAGAATGTCTCTAAAGAAGTGTGTTTTTGGTTTTAAGGGAAAGATAACTTTGTTCAGCTTCCTAAAGAACCCTAACGTTATGTAAACAGTGGATGCAGTTTGTTTTTCTGGAGCAGCAACGCAGTTTCACAAGAGTGTTTGTTGACGTTTATAAACAAGGCCCAGTTCGACGCTGGATTTGCACATCGTTTGATACTGAAGGATGGAGGGGTCCCAGCTGTAAAAGATCCCGGTCATGATTCAGAACTGCAGACGGTAAGTGAAACTGCATCAAATGTCTGTTTTGTTGGCAGTCGGAGCTCAAGTGCTTGTCAATCTTTAGCTCCGCCCACGGCGCGCCTCCAGGAGCTCGGCTTTTTCCGGAGAGAATCGTAAAGCTGTATCTTTCTTTTATAAATATGATAAAACTAAAGACTTTTTGGAGATATGAAGGATGCAGTACTACTCTATAGATACTCAAGATTAACATGAGATTGGGTGAAACTGTGTGTGTTATCTCCCCTTTAAACTAGTATCACAAATTAAATATTGATAATTAAACTAGCAAAAAACAGATAACTAAACTTGTATGACTACCAAAACTACTCACACCCAAACTAGACAAATACTGATAATTAAACTAGTATCACTGTTTAAATATTGATAACTAAACTAAACACCGATAACTACAGTATGACTATCAAACCTAAATAAACTTGTATGATTGATTACTATTGATACCTAAATTAGACAAATACTGACACTTTAACTAGTATGACTACCCAAACTACTGATATCTGACCAATACTGATATTCAACTAGAACCACAACTTAAACACTGATAATGTGTGTATTTTTATTAATTTAAAATACTTTCTGGTATTGCCTCATACTGTTTCATGATATAAGCCATTACAGGAAAATGATAGAGTTTCTAACATGAGTTAGGAGAGGCGTTATATTCATATAATATCATCATCAATAAACACAATAGTCATGTATAAACATAAAGTAATGGCTTATTCCTTCCATCCATTCCTGCAGTAAAACCTCCCAGTTCAGAGTTTGTGCTCCATCACACACAAGCCATATCTGTCTACCTCTTTCCACATTACTCTAATGTACTACATGAACACGTGTGTGTGTGTGTGTGTGTGTGTGTGTGCGCTTACGTATAGCTGCAGCTGGGCTGTTGTGGGTCCAGGAGCACTGAGGGTTTCTCCTCTCTCTTCTCCCTGCTCTTGAGGCCCAGCTTTGGGTCGGCTGTACAGGAAGGTGGTTCCTCCTGCCTGATACTCTCCCGGAGGATCGACCGCCCAGCGTCCGTTCACCACCGACTGACCTGTTCCACTGCGCAGGGCTGCAGACACAAACACATGCATTAATGAGCTGCTCACAATCACAACATACAGAGCTGGGCATGATCTTAAAAGATTTTTTGAGATTCATTCGACAGCCATTATTTGTTTGTGGAACGGCTGTTTTTAGCTGTCTGTAATTACAGACCTCAGTTCTGCTTGTGATGAACTTTTTATGAGTTTCCTACCATAATCACACATCACATGCAACTAGGAATTCTCCTCTAAGATGTTCATAGCAAGAGTTTCAAAGAAAGAGGAATGAAAAAGGAAGGATGCAGCACAAACATCAGGAAACTAAAATTAAGCAAATCTGTATGGTACTCATTGGCCCACCCATGAAACAGCTAACAGCTAATAATGAGATCTCTTTCATATCTCAATTGCTTCACGTCACCTTTCATTGAGAGCAAATGTAAATCCCAAACTGTGCTCAGATTTGCCCAAGACAACAATAATGGCAATCAAACATGAGAGATCTCAATATGAACTATATTACACTATAAATGACACATAAACAAGATCAATACAAATACTACATCAGTACTGATACTTACACAAGTGTCATTAAACTAGTGATACCTAAACTACATAAATACCGACACTTAAGCTATACGACTTCCCAGAACAACTGACACCAAAACTAGACCATTACTGATACTTAAACTAGTATCATGACATGAATACTGATAATTAAACTAGACAAACACTGATAACCAAAGTAGTATGAATACCTGGAACGCCAAAACTACTGACACCCAAACTAGTCCAGTACTGATACCAAAACAATTATTATTGACTGATACAGAAACAAGTACGTAATATTTAAACTATCACTACTTAAATACTGATAATTAAAAAAACACTGATAATTACATTGCCATTACTTCCCAAACTACTGACATCCAACCTAGAGAAATATAGATACTTACACTAGTATGACTACTCAAACTAGTGACACCAGAACTAGATCAATACTGATACTTAAATTAGTATTACTAACCAAACTACTGACCCCTAAACTTGTGAAATATTGATACTTAAACTGGTATCAGTAAACAAGTGAGACTTAAACTAGACCAACACTGACACTTAAACTAGTATGACTACCCAAACTACTGACACCTAAACTAGACCAATATTGGCACAAACTAGTATGACTACTCATACTACTGACACTTAAACTAGTCAAATACTAATACATAAACAACTGAGACTTAAACTAGACTAACACTGACACTTAAACTAGTATGACTACCAAAACTACTTACACCTACACTAGACAAATACTAGTTTTACTAGTATCACTAGTAAACTGATACTTAAACTAGTGATACTTAAACTATATAAACTAGTTTAGGTATCACTAGTTTAGTTATACTAGTTTTACTAGTATCACAAGTAAACTGATACTTAAACTAGTGATACCCAAAATAGACAAATATAATTCTTCTTCGTCTTTTTTTTGTTTTTTTTTACATTTTCTGAAGAGTTTTGCTTGTGCAAATGATCTTTTACGTGCACTTGTGCAAAACTGTCTGCAGTGATGCTGAAGAATTGTGGGTGGTTTCCAGGGCACTGCTGAGGGAGGTGCTGTTTGCACAAACATTGCAGGATGACGGACACACACACACACACACACACACACACACACACACACACACACACACACACACACACACTCAGTGCTAGAGGAAATATAAACAATAATAACAGTGATAGTTAACACCTCCGATGCAATAAAACTGGGTCAGACAGAATCACAGAGAGACACAGGAGAGAGAAAAGCCAAAGCCAAAAAAAGGATGTCAGAGAGAGAAAAAGAGCTGATTTGTCATGTAACCCGGTAAGTGTTTTGTCTACTACAGCAGTCTGCCTCCGGGGCACAATCAAACTGTACTAGAACACACAGAGAAACGGACCTGGGCATAAGGAGAAACAAACACAGACATGTCCATGAGTCTGACTCAGGGTCATATTCACTTATGAAGACATGCCTGCATTACCTAATCCAGCCCAGAGAGATCCTCCAAACCCCACGCACCATCAGCCGTGAATATGTGCATTCCTGAGTCATGTTCAGGCTAATATTAAGACGAAGGTAATATCAGCATCCCTCTCAGGACAGTGACTCATCGCTGCCCCAAACGCACTGCACGCTCAAACCATGGAACATTTTCATCTGAATGTAGACATACACGCTCTAGACAATCTGTAGTGATCAACAGCAGCTGTGAAGAATTTAAAAAACATCCCACTGCTCATGATCGCTGTTGTTTATGAGCTGAACGTTTGGCTGGAGGTTTGAACTCTGAGCTGAGGTAAAGCCGAGGAACAATGACCAATTTACACTAATCTCACATTAGCAGGTAGAAACATGTCCTGTTATGTGATGTATGCGAGTGACATACATTAGACAAAAATCTAAAAGGTGTGCATTATGACTGAGACCTATATGAACAATTTACAGTTGGTTATGTTACTGTAAGTCATTCTTCTCAAATGCTATTGAAGTTAGAAACCGACCAAGTCCATAGTTGGCACCCTCTCATTAGCATGTTGCGCAGAGGAAAAATAAATGTGGAACTACATTCAGAAATAAATGAGTGATTTAAAGAAAATAGTTAGGATGAGTTTAGCATTTACTTAAACATTTTCCATTTGCCCACCAATTTATTTTATTTATTTGCCTACTTTCATTACACGTTTAATTATTTATATATGTATTTAAACAAGAATACATGTATTTATACACACATTTATTTATTTGCATATTTATTTATTTATACACATTTATTTATTTATTTGCATATTTATTTATTTATACACACATTTATTTATTTATTTGCATATTTATTTATTTATACACACATTTATTTATTTATTTGCATATTTATTTATTTATACACACATTTATTTATTTTTAATTTCTGTAGGATTGGTCCTCCTTATGTGTCTAAAGAAAGTGTCTTGATATATAATATTAAGTATGGTCTTTATAATAATATTTTTACTTGATAAATATACATTTTTATCTTTGGGAAAATAAATGTTTTTGATTAAAATTAATTTCAAGTTTGTGCCAAATCATAAATATAATTAAAGAAAAACTAATAAATTTGGCTTCAACAATAGCTTTGTGTCACAACCATATGGACCTTTAGTTTGTTTTCTTTCCTCATGTGTTCGTTGACCTAGTTTCTGTCTCCCCTTGATTATGTTAGTTAGTTCACCTGTGTCTTGTTAATTAAATCATTATCCTCACTGTAAAAAAAAACAAAAAAAACGGTCAAATTGTTTTTTTTTGAGGGCTCCTTTGGTCTGTGTATTTAAGTTCCTGTCTGTTCAGTTTGAGTTTGTCGGTTATTATTTATACCTCATGTTTGCTGTTCATGGATTACTTGATCTTCTGTGTTTGTTGGAATAAATACCCTGTTTGAATTTATCTTCTTTGTGCACCTTTACCTTCATCTAGCAGCAGCGTGATACTTTGTGGATTCATATGGCAATTTTTACACCATTTTAACCCCCATTTACTGTCGCCACAACTATGTGAGGGTGAGTAAATACATTTTTCATTTCAGAGTGAATTATTCTGCTCTGCAAAGGCAAACCGTCCTTCCAGTGTTTACATAATTCATGCATTTGCCTTCATAGGGAAATACTCCAAAATTGAATGAAATAAGATAGAACTTAGTTCCTTTATGAAGCTGTTTTCCAGTAGGCATGTTCGCACAAGGAACGTTTGTCAGGTTTGATTATTGTAAGGACATTTGGTCACCATAAGGAAAGACAAACACAACAAAAATAACCACACACATACAAACACGTTTGTGTCATGGTTGGGACTTTCCATTTTATATAGAGCTAATGACATTTTCTGACCCGTAACCTAACCCTCACACAATGCTTTAGGCAGTTATACATTTTCATTATTATTTTGTATTTAATTTAATTTCAGGTTTCAGAGCAGATATTTGGTCCAAACCAGACCCACACACAGAGAGTTCATACCCAGATAGTTGGGACTGGCTCGTCTCTCAGTGATGTTGATGGCCGTGGCTCCGGGTGGGATGTCCAGGATTTTGTGGTAGCCCAGCGGGACGCTGGTGTTCAGGAAACTTCCCGTGACCCTCTCACAGGTGCCGTCTTCCCCGCCGCACACGCCACAGCGATCCCGGACCAACCCTGAGCCCAACACACCGTCACAGCCCTCGCTCTGACACACACACACACACACACACACACACGGAAGAAACAATCACTTCATTACAGTGGAGCATGAAGCTGCCAGATTCTAGAACTAAACATCAGGGCCCGTATTCATGAAAAGTCTTCGAGTGAAGAGTTGCTCCTAGTCACAAAATCTTAGAAAAGTGGGGGCTTCCCCTTAGAATTAAAGAGAAGATTCTAGTAAAGATAAAAGTTATTCACAAAGCATCTTAACACTTAAAAGAGCTCTTATGATCAAAAAGTGTTTGGAGTAGGGAGGAGGACTTTTAAGAGGCTTAAGAGTTTCTTTAGCAGAGGAGAAGATGGCCAAAAGACAAAGAGAGAGAAGAAATGTGTTGCAGACAATGGATGACTTAAGACACTAGATTAAATGGTGCAGGGGTAGTTTGTGACTGATCTTATTAGAGACACAACGATATCCATATATATATATATATATTCACACCTCTGGACTGTTTGTGTGTGTTTTTCTCCACATGTGCTCACCGTGACCCAGTTTCTCCCTCTCGTTTGATTAGTCATTTGGTTCAGGTGTGTCCCGTTAATTACCCTCGTTTAGTTCAGTATTTAAAGTGTTGTCTGTTTCTTGATTCCTTTGTCCGGTGTCGTCTATGTGCTCCGTGTGTGTTCCTGCCTGCCCTGTATTACCCCTGTTTGGATAAATAAAGACTGTTCTTCGTGACTCTCCCTCACCTCCGCAATCCTCGTCTCCACACAGAAGCACCGTGATATATATATATATATATATATATACACAGTGCTTAACACATTTATTAAACCACCACCCAATATAAGGTTTGTGCCACAGCTGCCCTACCAAAACCATTTTTTCATGTTTCTGTAATGGTCACAGAAGTGTTTCTAATGCTAAATATAATTATTGTTGGGGTTTAATGAATTCAAAGATAGATCGTACAAAAGTTTCATCAAAAGCAAGTCTTTGAGAACAACTAGAAACTATTTGGAAGTCGTTAACAACAGTCTGCGGAAAAGTACATAAAAACAATGCCAGCAAGAATACAAGTTGTTATCACAGCCAAAGGAGGCCATACAAAATACAAATAAAATATTTATGTTATTAATAATGTTATTATGTGTGAATAAATACTATTTAGTTGTTTCAGTTTGTTATTTGTCCTGCAGATTTGCTTTATTCAACATCAAGAAGATCAGGCCCTTTCTTTCAGAACATGCTTCACAACTCCTTGCTCAAGCTCTTGTTCTGTCCAGGCTGGACTATTGCAATGCTCTCTTGGCAGGTCTTCCAGCCACTTCTATCAAACCTCTACAATTAATCCAGAATGCGGCAGCAAGATTAATTTTTAATGAGCCAAAAAGAACACATGTCACACCTCTGTTCATCAATTTGCACTGGCTACTAGTAGCTGCTCGCATTAAATTCAAGGCATTAATGTTTGCCTACAAAACCACCACTGGCTCTGCACCCATTTACCTAAATTCATTACTTCAGAGTTATGTGCCTCTAGAAGCTTGTGTTCTGCAAGTGAACGGCGTATTATTGTTCATCTCAAAGAGGCACAAAATCACTTTCACGGACTTTTACATTAAATGTTCCCTGCTGGTGGAATGACCTGCACAAATCAGTCCGAGCAGTCCTTAGCCATCTTCAAGAATCGACTAAAAACACATCTCTTCCATCTTTATTTGACCCTTTAGCTCAAGCACTCTCTATTCTAATTGTATTTTATTCTTTATTTTTTTTTTAAACTTGCCCCTTTTAGACTTGCAATCTATTCATTTACTAACTGCTTTGTTTTCTAAAAAAAAAAACTAACACTAGCTTTTCTAATCTTTTTGTACTCTATCGATTTGTTTTCTTTTTATTTATTATACAATTAACAAAAGCAAAAAAGGCCTCTAACACTAGCTTGCTCTATTCTTTTTCTGTTCTATCAGTTTTCTTTTTATTTATTATATAATTGAAAATAAACTTGCTATGTGTACTGCGTTAAGCTAACTGAAGCTTTTTTTTACTGAATTGCTCTTTTGTTGATTTTGATTGCTTCCATTGTCCTCATTTGTTTAGGGTAAAACAAGAAAAAATAGGCCCTATTTAAAAGCGCTCTTTTTTTTTTCTTCTTGGACAATCAATCACAGTCTTCAAAAGAATGTGTCATACTTAGCAACGGGGTCACCACCGCCTCCTCAATAAGATGAAAGTTTTTGTCTTTTCCTCTTAATCACTCTTAAGCTACGATTCCTAGTTTTAAAAATGTAAGCAAAATTAAGAGCTCTCTGAGAGGATTCTTAGACGCTTTAAGAATACGAGCTGTTTGCAATGTTGTCCTCGCAATGTCAGCACTAGAACTGAGCAGATTTAGACTTAGAAATGATCACAGTGGCTCTTTCCGGTGCTGATGTTACTATCATATTGGTGCATGTCAGCCTAGCTGTTTTCTCACCAGACAGCGTCCTCCCACACACACATCGTTGGGTGTGTTATTTGCGCAGGGCGTTCCATCTCGTACCCTCTCCGCCTGCCGCACGTAGAAACGATACCCAACCGGTCGACAGGTCAGCTCACACTGCTGCTCCAGACCCACTGCCACAGAACAACACACCAGAACATCAGTCAGCACCACTGCATTTCATTCATCACGTCACATGATCTGCTGGACTTTATCACTGTAGGTGTCTTTGTGTAAGAAGATGGCATACTAGCCCTCCAAAACCATTTATTGAAAAAGCTGCTGCAAAAATATGCATGATTGCCCATGTTCGCATATTGTGTATCACATGTATCATACCATTTCTGTATTTAACAGCTTGGCTGGGATCATTGCATTTGCAAAGAGGTTACCTAAATATAATAAACCTCATCTGCATATAGAACTTCAAAAACAGTAATTAGAAAAGCTGCCTTCTCATATGGAAATGTAATATATGTAGCATATTTTGCCCTACATGCAACTTTATTAAAACAAAACAAACACACACACACACACACACACACACACACACACTCAATATGCTTATATATGTTTTTCTTTTATATTTACTTATATAATCATTGTGTATCAACAGGTATTAGGATGGATATATGTATACATGACATACTGTATATGTCCAAAAATGTATTACACATACGTAAATATATTTATATGGGCTAGATATATATGAAATTGTTCCTAATTCTAATAGGTTTCATATATGCTCTTACTTCATATAACAGTATTTTTAATGTATATTTTGCACGTATGGGTTGGCAACTAACTGAAATAAAATATTTTTAAGATGAAGTACTAAAATTAAAAACTTTATAAAAAACAAATACTAAAAAACTGAAATAAAAAATACATTAAAGCTAAACAGAAATAATAAAAATGACAAAAGTACATATAGCAAATAACTACAACTTAAACCAAAATAAAAAAAATATATATATAAAACAATGAATGATAATTTAAAATATGAATAAATACACAAATAGCATATAAATGATACTAAAATAACACTGGTGGACGGAAATAAACAGTTCCATAAAAGAGTGCAATATGGTGACTTTCATAAACACATGACCAGAATGGATCCTTCTGCTCTCATAAATAAAACTCTTTCTGAAAACGTCTTGTTTTTTTCCATTGTATCTGTTCTCTTTGTGAACCTCGTGAAATCCCTCGGGTGCGGATGCGAGCCGCTTCAGTCTCTCTCTCTCACAAACACAACACAGTCCTGAGCTATTAATTACAGCCAATCAATGTCATGATCAAAACCCCCGTCACACACAGGAAACACTCATTATTAATGGTGTTTACTAACACAGATACAACACACACTTGATACTTTATCTGTGTGCCTGGAAATCAGAATTATCGAATTCTCTGATGCCTCCTGGCTTTCTGTGACTGTGGGAACACTGTGAATATCAGACCCACTTTGGCTCTTTTATCTCAGGCCAGTAAGTAACCAGCTAACCATGACCCAGAATGCACCAGCACATTCTGCATGCAAAAACAACTCATAGTTTCTCTAGAAAATGTATAAATCTAGTTACATATTTTGAACATCTGCTTATCGGTCCATCCGAGTTTTTGCCCTCCGGTTTCTCTTTCTATTTTCAGTCTCAGCTGGACTACAGTCCGTTCATCTGAAGCACACAAAGAGCACTTTCATGATCTGGCAAGCTCTAATCTGATTGGCTGATGTCCGGCAGTAAGAGCACACAGGGTTTTTTTAATCAGTCTGTTGGGGCTCATTCAGTGAAGACCTCTTACTGGACTTGAAGAAGTTTAGTTAGTCATCAAAACTTCGTAGTTTTCTGTGGCATTTTCTGGCTTTCTTTGAGAGAAAGTATTTGTTATTTTTCAATGGCCAGAAATTTTGATCACTGAAATAAAATATGTATAAGCTGAAGTAAAACTAAAATAAAAAAGCTATTAAATATTAAAAACAAAACAAATAAAACTGACAAAAGCATGTAAACAAATTACTAAAACTTAAATAAAACTAAAATAAAATAAATGCATATGCCTCTCTCTCTCTCTCTCTCTCTCTCTCTCTCTGTCCCTCTATCAGAATCAGCTGACACTGACAAAAGAGCGAGAGATTCCAAGCCTTTCCCATTCCGTCACAGTTATCTTTGAGAGATTATGATGGAGACAATGGTAGAGAGAGAGAGACAGTCACAGAGAGAGAAATGCACGAGAAAGGAAAGTCAATAAAAGTTATAAAAATAATGGACAAAAAAGGCCTATTTTAAAGAAGGGCAAAAGCAAGAATCTAGAAGAAATATGGTCATTTCTCCTCTCTCTTTCTCTCTCTCTCTCTCTCTCTCTCTCTCTGGTGTGCAGACAGTGAGTCTATTCAGACTAAATATACTTCCCCACTATCTCTGTCTCTAAACAAACTCAGAGAGACAAGCGGTGCAGGACACAGGAAGACAGAGGGATGACGAGAGAAAGAAAGAAAGAACAGCACAGGATGAGAGAGGAGTCCGTTCAGGGAAAGAGGGATATACAGAAAGACCAAAAGAAAGAGCTGGAATGCCAGAAGAAGAGCGTGAGGCTGAAAACTATTCACACACTTAAATAACAAGTCTGTTCAGTTTCAAATTATACAGTGATAAATGTGGTTGTGAAACATGAATTATATGTGCAATGCTCAGCAAAGTTATTACAGTTAACCAAATCTATATAAAAAAGAATTTCATTACTTGAAAAAAAAAAAAACTTAAACTGAAATAAAATGAAATATAAAAAAAATATTAATTATAATGTTTTTTTCTAAGAGTTCTAAATCTTAATTATTAATTTTAATAACAATATCAAATGTTTAGACAGTAACACTATGTAAACTGTGTCTGGGGATATTTATGTACACTACTGCTCAAAAATTAATAATTAAATTTTTTTTTTAAAGTCTATTTGATAAAAATACAGTAAAAACAGTAATATTGTGAAACATTATTATAATATAAAATAGCTTTTCATTATTGTAAATATTTTCTAAAATGTAATTTATTTCTGTGATGCGCAGCTGTATTTTCAGCGTCATTACTCCAGTCTTCAGTGTCACATGATCTTCAGAAATCATTCTAATATGTTGATTTGCTGCTCCAGAAACATTTCTGATTATTATCAATGTTGAAAACAGTTGTGCTGCCCAATATTTTAGTGGAAACCGTGATACATTTTATTTCAAATTTTATTAAAAATCTTAATTATTCCAAACCTTTGAGCAGTAGTGTATAATATCTGTCTAAAATGATACTTTAGCAAGCTTGCAATTGGCTGAGCAAGACTTGGTGGTGTGTGTTATACAGAGAAACCTGGCCTTCCTCACTGTAAAACCAGAACAGACACATTTTCAGACATTCTGGACGCAAAAGCCGACAGAGTGGGCAGAGGTTTTGCAAAGACGAGCCCAGATTTACTGATCAAAGGTGATTTCATCAGAAACACACACACACACACACACACACACACACACACACACACACACACACACACACACACACACACACACACACACCTCA